GCTAAATTCTGGATCAGGAATCGCTCGTTCTTCCTTAATCAGGTGTGCATGATCAATTTCTTCATTTAGAGGTATTGACAGAGCCAAAAGTTGGATGGCCTTGATAATAATGACGGAATTCTCCTCATTGCCACTACTAACCACCTTGAACGACTTGACAATAGCGTAGCTAATCGACCCAGCCGCTTCGACCGCAAGTACCTGTTTGACGATCCTGATGAGGTAGAACGACGACTCTATTGTCAATATTGGCAGAACAAACTCAAGAACAATCATAAAATCCCATTCCCGGACAGCCTCGTAGATGAGGTAGCAGAGCAAAGTGACACCCTCTCATTCGCCTACATCAAGGAGGCTTTGTATGTCCTTTATTAAACTACTTTTGATCGCTCTCATCATATTTCCATAGCGTCTCTACTCTCGTTTTGATGGCTGGGGACCCAGAGCTGGACTTTGCAGCAACATTGAAAGCACAAGTAAAGGAGCTCAAGGATCAGGTCAGAGATCACCCTCCTTCCGTCGCCGTCAAGGATATGTCAGTTCCCCCTGCTGATATTGGAGGACCGTCTGAGATGACTTCGACCCGTGAGCTCTTACAAAAGCTTATGGGAGGAGATGTGCCCCGAGGAATGAGTAGTAAGAGTATCTTACCCTCTGCAAATATTGGTCTGCGTAGATGGATATAATCCTCGACATTTCTATGTAACTAGTTCACACTTAACCGGTGGCGCTTTTTTTCAGTGGTGACAAAGAAGCCCCAGCATTGTTTACTCCTAGCCACTTCATCGACTTACCTCAGACGTAACCCTAAAAATGTCCACAAACGAAATGGAATTAGATAAGCACTCCGATGTTAAGTCGTATGTGGATTTGCCTCTTTGGTGTGGTTGGCGCTAAGCAATGAACTTCCCAAAATCTGCAGGTCTATCAACGACTCGCCCAATGGCAAACGCTCTCACCGCTCCCGTTCTAGAGGTAGTGACCGCCGCGACAAGGAACGTGACCGCCATTATTCTGACCGCGACAATCGGGATCGTGACCGGCGCAGGTCAGACAAGGACCGAGACCGCTCGCGAGACCGGGACCGCAGGCATCGAGACGATGACAAGTATCGAGACAGAAAGGACAGAGATAGAAATGATCGTGATTACAGGGACCGACATCGCTCTTCTCGGAACTATAGTCGCGAACGAGACTACAACCGTCGCAGAGATGATGACCGTGACCGTGACAGCGACGATCGTCGTGAAAAAAGAAGACGTGAAGACGGTGAAGAAGGCGCTCCCGAAGGAAAGCGTCGCAAGGAAGATCGCGAGGGCTCTACCAGTGAAGCAAGGGGTGAGAGGCGGGATCGCTCGAGGGATTCTGACAGGAGGAAACGCGACAGGTACCCGAATGGAGGAAGGGGTCAGTCTAGGGAAAAGGACAAGCGTTCGTAAGTGGCCAAGTGTTCTTGCTTCTTAGAACGGTTTGAAAGGCTAACAATTGCATTCAAGACGTCCCTCCCCTACGTACGTTCCCCCGCCGGATGAGGAACAACCGGAAGAAGGAGACTCTGAACAACGCTCCGTGTTTGTTTCACAGCTCGCAGCTCGTTTAACGGCCCGTGATCTCGGATATTTCTTTGAGGACAAGCTGGGCGATGATGCCGTTCGTGATGCCCGCATTGTCACGGATCGCTTGTCAAGGCGTTCTAAAGGGTACGGAGTCGTTGAATTAGTTGCTGCTGACCGCTGACATCCTCATTTAGAATTGGCTATGTCGAGTTCCGTAATGTCGATCTCGTCTCAAAAGCAATCGCTCTCACAGGAACCGTTGTCATGGGACTTCCTATCAAAGTGCAACTTACCGAAGCTGAACGCAATAGGGTGCACCCCGGGGAGTAAGTGTTTGCCTTCATCCCAGCATAAGCAATCCACTGACAGCCTTTCCAGTCTTCTTAATCTTCCTCCCGGAGTAACAGCACCACCAGGAGGGCCAATGCAGTAAGAAGTTCGCTTTCAGATCGATAGTGCATCGTGCTGACGAACCGTTTAGGTTATACGTTGGTTCTCTACATTTCCAACTTACCGAGGAGGAGATTAGACAAGTGTTCGAGCCGTTTGGCGAATTAGAGTTTGTTGATCTTCACAGGGATCCTGCAACTGGCCGTAGCAAGGGCTACTGCTTCCTCCAGTACGTACCCATTTGGCTTCGAGTGTACCCGCTAATGACGGACGCAGGTATCGTCGACCAGAGGACGCAAAAATGGCACTCGAACAGATGGACGGATTTGAGCTTGCCGGACGAACAGTACGTCCACGATTTATAAATGGTTCTAGGTGCTGACTGGCTTTTAGCTTCGTGTCAATACGGTCCATGAAAAGGGTGCGGCTGCTCCGGGCGCTCTGACAATGCGAGGTCTCGGAAGCCAAGCTGAATCTCTTGACGAAGGCGGTATGTCATTTGAGTTGGTCTCTTTGCCAAGCTGACTCGCAATAGGCGGTAATCTTAACGCGGTATCCCGTCAAGCGCTGATGCAAAAGCTTGCTAGAACAGCTGAACCACAGGTCTCTTCTCCAGTGAACGCGTACGTCGCTTTCTTTCTATGAAGATATGCAGAGAGTGCTCAATCTCGTACTAGTCCTAAACTTGACATCAAATCTCAAGAAACTAGGTGCATCTTGCTGAAGAACGCTTTCGATGCTTCCGAGTGAGTTGTTTACTCTTGCCTTCTCCTTCATGGCTGATGACATCTCTAGGGAGACGGAACCGGACTGGGAAAAGTCTTTATCTGACGACGTTAAAGCAGAGTGTGAAACCAAGTTTGGCGGTCGTGTCCAGCGCATTGTAGTCGAAAAAGAATCAAAGGTAAAGCTATTTGGGAGTAAAAGTTCAAAGTGCTGATTCATTTCTGCACAGGGCGAGATTTATATTCAATGCGAAAATGTCGACATGGCTAGGAAAGCAGTTGCGAACCTCGATGGCAGATGGTTTGGTGGTCGTCAAATCAGTGCTTCGTATATTTCGGATGCCATCATGAGAGCTCACTAGTAGAAATCATCTGCTACAGGAAAACCCTTCCAATCAACAAAAAGACTGCAAGACTGAAGACTACGGTTTGTCTCCTCCTGACTTGATCCCCGCCTTTTTATTATTTTCAAGAACGACTTTAGGGCAGTTGCAGGACCGTTATTCCCGGGAGAATCCAAAAGAAGTTTAATTTCCTCTTATTTGATTTTCTTGACTTTTGTAGATAGGGCTACACTTTGAGTTAAAAGCTTCTTTTGAACTAACACTTGTGCTGCACGTGTTGAGTGTATCCAGATCGGTGGTATAGAACAGGAGCCGAGACCTGAAGGTACAACGAGTGTTGTGTCCCCCTCGTAAATTCTCCCCCCAAACACAATCTCTGCTCACTTTTGGACGTTCCATGAACATCTTTGCATATAGACAAAAGGGCATTTGGAGATTAATGATCATACATTGTGCGCTATACTCTAGTGTGGCCAAACTATGACCAGCTTATCGTGAGTGCGATTCTCATTCGACTCGTATGACGACGATCGTGCATTGTTTAGTCTCTGAGGCTCTTCTTTTCTGAATAAAGACAAGAGATGAATTATAATCTCTTAGTTCTCAAGTGGATTTCGCAACTCAAACAACCCTACGACCAAAGCCAGGACCTAATACGAACGTATATCGCCTACGCGCCCTCTTACCTCGTTATTGATGCCAGTGTGTCCAAGGATCCCAAGGACGATACTGGGATCACGCAGTGGGCGCTGGGGCTCGATCGGATCATGGACGTTTTAGCAACGTTGCATGCAGGCTCCCAGCTCGAGCTGGAGACCGTGTTGACGCTCACCAAGGCACTGTCCGAGTCCTGGAGCAACAGTTTTGGGATAAACAACACGGAGAGTGCGCAGGAAAAGATCATGGGGATTGTGGCCCGACTGAGGAAATTATTGGATGAGCCCGATTCGGAGATCGCCACCTGCACTTTCAAGTCGCACCCTGTTGCCCTCGATTTTCTGTAAAAATATTTTTTCAGTGTACTCTCTGCACCATGTTCCTCTAGTCACTCTTGTTTTTTGTTGAATCTAATTGTACTTCCCTTGCCATCATGACAGCCGTCATAGTAGGGTCTCTTAGTTGAACGGGTCTGGTGTGCGGTCGGCCCATTCAGTAACACGTTGAACTCTCCCGCTGAGGCGCCGCCTGCAACGAGGCTCTCGAATATTGTGCGAGACCGTGAAGGTCAGTCGGAAATGGCAACTATGGACCATGGAATGTACCACAATCTGCGACAGTGGGCCTTTGGTGCGTGCAAAATCCCCTCGAACACTTGTAATTTTACCGAATCGACCGAGCTCGAGTGATTTCGATCAGTCCTGACGTTCTCTTCGTTTTTCCACCGTCGTCATGCATACCCTCTCGAAACTAATTTCTCCTTTTTTTATTTCCAGGTTTTGTGTTTGCATGTGCCGCAGTCACCATAGGGTTGGAGGCGAGCTTGGCTGCGTCTTTGCTACCCTATGATAGTGAGTCTAGTCCAAATTTTATCAGATGAATTTGTCGCGTGGGCTTCTGTGACTGATCTCCTGTGCCAGGTGATTTCGTAATATTTGGCCTGGCCGTTTCATCTGCCACTATACTCGCCGTGCTTGCAGTGTATGTCGCCCCTAGTTTCCGTCATAGAACCGTCGAATTGAATTATCTACAGTGCTAGAAGTTCGACACCGTTCCTGGAGTCGGCGGGGCTGTTTGTGTTTTCAGTGCTATGGGTTGCGATGGGTGGAATCTCAGTGTAAGGCCCACAAGTTGCACAACTTTTGAAATGACTGATTATCGGGAATAGTGACCGAATAGGAGGGGTTCGGTGTAATGACCTTACGGGTGACCTCAACACGGGACGATCAAAAACAAGTGGG